ATAACATATGTAGTGGTAAAAAGATTGACCAAATCAGTTCGGAGGTCATTGTTATCGACGAATAAACAGAACGTATGGTGAATATTTAATTTTAAAAGAATAATATTCAAACCATTTTTTTTCGAAAACGCTTTCTGAATGTAAAATACAAGACGTCATCGCTGCGTTGCTAGGTAACACCGATGCTAATCAAACCTACTTTTTTGGGACGTTCATTTAATTTCTAATAAATGGGTGAAGTAGTTAGCCAGACGGAGCTCTGACAGTGAAGTATCTACTATCAGCCGTTTAAAATTGGGATGGTGCGACCTTGTAACCGCCGTAACGAATTTGGAAAAAGCTGACGTTTCGAGCGTTAGCCCTTCGTCGGAGCAAAATGGAAGATTGTGGGTTGCGTGTGTGTTTCAGTATATACTGGAGTATAGGGTTACGTTATTGGAGGAAGCATCTCTTGGTGGGAAAACTTCAGACAAGAACAGAGACGGGTTTTAATCAAACTGGAAATATTCCATGGAAATTCCAATAAATATATGAAATTTTAAAAATCGGCTGTTCAAGCTTGGTTGTAACCTAATGGACTTGTTTGCTTATTTTGACGAGAAAGCGACTATCTATTCAAGCTTATTCGTTCGCCGCGAAGCAACTTGCAGCAAGTTAGACTAATACAAAATGTTTTTCCTCATATCAGGCAGGAATGGAAGTTAGTTTCCAAATTCCTTTTTTTTGGAAACATTCTCTGAGTTAGCTGTAGTTTATTTTAAACCATTATCATTATCATGAAAACATTATGGCCTCACTGATGTCAGACAATTAATTATCGGCTTACTCTAGCGTACGTTTAAATGAAAATCCAGAAGCGAACATCTCTGTAATTTGGGCTCGGCAATTCAATCTTCGTTATATCCATGTCAACAAAAACAGTTTGTGATTGCGAGCAAAAAATGTGTTTATTTTATGTTGAATGGGGATTGACAAGCCAAATGATTTACAAAAATGTGCAATAAGCTTCACTTCTCTCTTGAGTGATCTACATGGATTTCCTCCGAGCAAAACCTAAACCTAAACCAAAAGCAATTACAATGGCCAATCACAACAAACGTAAACAACACAATGAACCAATGAGAAATCCAAGCAAATACACGTAAAGGCCCGATCAAACGGTCACAACATTTGTCACAACATTCTCACAACAATTGTTGTGACATGTATCGGCTCACAACAAATGTTGTGAGAATGTTGTGACAAATGTTGTGACCGTTTGATCGGGCCTTAACCAGCGCCAAGCGCGGGAAAACGCGTGTGACCAAGTCGCGATTGATTCTTTAGCTGAGAAGTGCTAAAGCATTCAATGGGGCATGGGATTGAATTGGGCAGAACACAGTATTTTCTTCCAAAATGTAACAGTTAAACTTAATTGCACACTTAGACAACTTGGAACAATGAAGATCAGCCATTTATTTTCGGAAGATTTCTTGCTACTTTTCAAAAACTTCCAATTGTCCAAAGGTCAGTTGATCATTTAATTCCAACCATTTTCGGAACATATATAAGAAGATTGCCAAAGACATCCAAAACTTTCCCAATGAATATACCAAGGCATAAAATATTAAATTATTTTATTTAAAACTCAGACCACTGGTTCAATTGACCAAACCAATCTATGGAAAATCATGATGAGGGATGGGATACTACAGTTGAATAAAACCTGTATGCACGGGATACTGCCGAATATGGATTTAACATATTGCTACTCACCTAAGATCAATGTTGGCCAACTTTCCATTCGAGTATGAAGTCCTTTGAGAAAGATTTGATGCAAGAAAAGAATTGTTTCACTGCAATTAAAGATATGAATCAGCGTTAATTTCTCTTAAGTCAATCATCCTGCATTTCATTTAGGTTTTTATTCGGGTTTATCATGGTTTAGAATTATTCACTAAGATATCTGTTGGATCCTTAAACGTTTTTACGTTACTAACTCACTAGTACTTTGGTCAGCAACTTTTATCTCTTTTGTTTAACAATAACATTTAGGGGCCGAGTACTTTGTTAAAGCTCTCACAGAAATACGACAATGAGGACAGTAAGTTTGTTTTATCAAATAAGCTAGAAGTGGTTTGTTATATTGCCAAATCAGAGCGGTTTTCACTTGAGTGTCGAAAGTAATCCGGAATTACTTTGGTTTTACTTTCTACGCTCTGTGATTGGTTTAATAACTCGCGCCACCTACTCAACCAATCAGAGGCAAAACCAGAACTAATCGCCACTTGGTCACGCGTTTTCCCGCGCTTGGCGCCAGTTAAGTGTATTTGCTTCGAATTCTCATTGGTTCGTAGTGTTGTTTACGTTTGTTGTGATTGGCCATTATAATTGATTTGGTTTCGGTTTTACGACACTCGATTGAAAACTGCCCTATAGCAAAGAATGGCTTTTAATAGCATTTCATTTCAATTTAGCAACGAGGCTCTTGAAAGGTAAAAGTTTCTAAAACATTGTTGACTTTTAGGAGAATACAATACGTCAGAAAAAAGTCATTTCAATAAACATTTGTACTTTTATTTATGAATGAGTTTTAGTAGTCACCATTGCTTCATGTACAAAAATATTTAGTCGGTTATAAACGAAGATCAACTAATGGTACGTAGGTGTTTAAGTTATTGACGTAGCAGGGTTATTAGTAGTTTTATGCGGTGTTAATGCCTTCTTGTCACTCCTCTGCTCTGTTGCTATACAAGACTTGACCTCAGTTTATATACTTAGTTATATTCAGAGTAAATTAATTTTAGTTTTAAACACAATACCTATTTAGAAAGATACAATTGACTTCTTCATGGCTTAATGGAGGCCTCTTGGAGCTAGCAGCCATTTTAAAGGGCCTGAAGAAACACGACACGAGTGTGGAGAGGTTTTGCATATATTCGTTCTCAGTCTCCACCAGCTGAAAGCAAATTGAGTTCCTCTGACGCATGCTCTCTGCATGAGGTGACCGGATGTAATTTTGTACTATACTGTACCAGCGGCGACGACAAAGCCAGCCTCGAATCAGACTTTGAACCTGTTAACAAGTGATTTATGTTATTGTGTTTATCAGGTTTTCACTTTATTTTGTCATTATTGTAATAGTAAGTTTATAATTAAAGTAACTTATTGGCTGCAGTTGAGCATGATAACGAGAATTATCAAGGTCTTGATAATTTCACTATCATGTGAAAACCGAATCCTATAATAATATTGTTTTATATACGTTTCAAACACTAATTCAGAGTATATAAATGGCATCAAAGCACACGTAAAGCTCTGGTGGTATCCACGTGACAAAAGGTTACGATAAAAATTAATTGCATTTTGGACATGAGATAAAATTAAAAACAAATTTATTTTTCATTGAAAAAAGAATTTAACACTCTAGGACATGGGAACTTGTGTTAAAATGATTATTTTGGGTAGATCATGGCTCTATAGAAACCAAAAAGAAAAGGTATGCATACCAATTCCACATCTATTATAACCTACTAGATGGCAGCAACACAGAATACAATACAACATTATTTTACAATGTATTCTTTAATTTGATTTGTAAACAACGAAGAAGTATGTGCAAATAAAGCTTGTTATACCAGAACCTTATCACCTATAAGCTTCTGGTTATACATGTAGAGCTCTGTGTGGTGTTATGACAACAACTTTGAGTTATAACCTAACACTATTAGCAGTATAATGTTCAACTTGCAGATTACAGTATTAGTAAAAATAGACGAGGTGCAACCAGGATAAAACATTTCTTGATAAAAAATATTAAAACATTCTGTGGTTCAAAAAGTTGTATAAAATAAGCTTTTGACTACCAGGCTGCAATTATAAAAAGTTGTTTCAAGGGTAGAGCATTGTTTAAATATTTAGTACATAATAAGTGCATTGGTTACCTTTTTAATATGTTTTATTTCCTCACTTTCTTCCTCTCTTGCCTCAACTGTCTTTTCTTTTCGAAGACTTGCAACCTGTATGAACAAAACTTCTCACTCAAACACTGTTACCATAGCAATGATAAATTTCTATTGTTGATATTGTTATTGTATTTGTGAGTTTCAACTGTTTATACTGTTTGCAGACATTTCTGCTTTATTCATTCTTTAGCTGAGAAGTGTTAAAATGCTCGCTTCTTTAACTAGTATTCAATGAGGCATGTGATTGTTGGTGTCCACTTGTGGCTTTTGTGTCACAATTGGGCAGAACACAGTATTTTCTGCCAGAATGTACAGTAAAATTATAATTTTATTAAAAGTAACTGCTCAGTTGACATGTACATACTAGTCCTACAGTGGTTTCGAGAGATATACCGTAAAATATCCCAAAAGTAACTTGATTTTTCAGTATATACACAAGCCTTTAGGTGAGTGTGTACAAAGAGACAAATTAAGTCAAAAGAAAGCATTGCATATTAACTATTTTATCCCATGTGCCTCTTCCAGTATAACTTAATGCACACTCAGATAACTTTCCAACAATGAAGATCAGCCAAAGATTTCACTCTTTTCGGAAAAGTTGCTACTTTTTAAAAACTTCCAATAGTTGTCATTTAATTCCAACCATTTTCGGAACATATTATAACAAGATTGCCAAAGACAGCCAAACATTTTCCAATGCCGATATACCAAGGCGTTTCAACCATATCCTCAATATGAAATTATTTTATTTAAAACTCAGACCACTGGTTCAATTGACCAAACCAATCTATGGAAAATCATGATGAAGGATGGGATACTACAGTTGAATAAAACTGTTTGGCATGGGATTAAAAAGCAACATCATGTTATTATTTCATTGATAAAAGGTAAAGGTAAAAGCTAGAAGCTTGTGGGGCCGTGTATAGAAACAAATATTTCAAATAAACATAAGTTACATGGTTAAAAATCCCAACTGGCAGGAGGCAGACCATTTGGCTATTTACTGAGTGCAGCTAAGGAGTTGAACTTGGGGCAACCAAGAGCAAATCCAGCGAATGGCAGGATGGAGGGCTTGAACCTGGGACCTCTGGATTAAACGTCCAGTGTCCTAACCACTCGGCCACGCTGCCTCCCTGTTGACATTTTTTGAACTGCAGTTTAGCACTGCTGCAGAGTTAGGTTATGTTGATAAGTTTCACACTGCTCCCCCAACATATTTGGGTCACCTGTATTCCTGGATTGAAATGGTTCAATAACTGCACACAGCACACATGTGTGTACTGAGTAAACAAGAGGAAAGAGTAGAATTATGTATATACCTCTGTTTTAAGGTTTGACACTAACTGTGCCTGCTCCTCACACTGCTGAAGCAACTGCCATTTAGCAGTCTTCTCACTATCCAGAATCTGCATCACATGGATGTACTTCTTTTCCAGTTCTTCCTTCGCTGATTGTAATTCAGCAAAACTACACCAAACAAGAAATTATTACAGCTGCAGTTACATCTTGTTTAAGTAAAAATATCATGCAATTACAATAATAAGCCCCTCTCGCCCCAAGAACCCCCCCCCCCCCACTTATTCTGATTATAAGCCCCCAATATTATTGTCTTGCGTGTTTATTGGCGAATTCTGCTTCGCAATGATAGGAAGAGCCGACATCTTTGTATTTTATGTTTTTGTAACACCTACACCATGTACATGTACTATTGCTCACTGACGGAGAATTGTATGACTGAAGAACTTGTTAAATGTGTCTCGCATCATTGAGTTTAGAGAGTTTTAGAATGCCCCTCCCCACCCCCAAAATAAAATATACCCACCAAAAAAGATAAGATATAAGCCCAGGGCTTGTTATCGGAATTTTACAGTTTTAACAATGGAATTGGCACAGGACAGCGGGAGTCTGTCGACGGAATCTTACACATGCAAAGATGGTGCTTTGATCTTCAACTGCAGACTTGCAAGTGCTTGTGCCCAAGAATGGTGCTAGCCGGTGTGGCAGGGTGGTACTCCCATGTAAGCAATATACATGTAGGTATGTGCCGTGTGATAGGGTATGGTTTTTGAGTGCTCCCCAAGATAGCTAGGATTCTAGCTAGTCACAGGAGACCTTACACATTTTCGCATGTGACATTTTACTGATACCCATTTATACACCAAGGTGGAGATAGAGAGCACTGTGAGAGAAAAGTATCTTGCCAAAAAAACACATGAGGATTGCCAGGGATCCACCTCCCAATTGCCACCTCCACAATACAGTTTAACAACCGTATCGCTTAAGTGGAGGTTGGGTGCCTGGGACATCCAGGAGCTTCCACTTTTGGCAGCCAGCTCCTAGATGGAGAACCACCCCAATGGCTGGCAAATTCTGACAACCCAGCCATGAGCCCCCATGCCAGGGAAACAGGCACCTGTCACACTGCCAAAGCAGTGGGAAAAAAGGGAGGGAGGGGAGGGGAAAAACGCTTAGGCCTAGAACACGCATAGAAGACCTCGAAGAACGCCCGCCACAACACAAACGCTAAAAGACGCTCAACTCTTAAAGCACATGGAATCATAGCACATGCGCACATGCCAAATACCGCTGACCTCCAGGTAATCACTGGTGCTCTTTGTTGTTAACTCCGTTGAAATTACATTTTAACTGCATTTAAACATAATTTAAACTAAAGTTACCTGGAATTTGTGATAGCGTCAATCCATGCAGTGCACTCCTGGTCACTGTTCGCTCTGAGAATAAATTGGTGCTGCCCATCCCCAGTTGGCACACTGATACAAAAGCAGTTCTGAAATTGAAATAAACATGAAACATGAGACAGATATTTATCAGTCATTGACACAAGCTAGCTACTCTGAAACAAATTTCTGAGTACTCCCAACAGGAGTCGATCCCGTGACGTTCTGCACACTGGTCAGACGCCCTACCACTGAGCTACAGGAGACTCGTGGTGGGAGCTTAGGCCATTATAACTAGGTTCAAATGTGACAAACTTCCTGCATACTGCCAGGATTAGTTTTGTCGATATGTGTAGAAAGAAATGATGGTGAATTTTAAGCTTGGTAGATATTTATTTTATTTATACCATATGTATTTATTTCTACCATTTCTATGCCCTGAGGTGGTACTAGTAAGAGTATCAGAAAAACAAACCACACATAGGCGGCTAACCTACTTTAATTTTGTGACTTATTTTGTAAGCCAAAAATGTAGCAAAATGGTCAATTTTGTAACCAAATTTTCCCTTTCATATCGGACATACATGTAAGCATCATCACTCCAGTCACTCGGGGATCACTTCAATGGGCCCTCTATGGTATTAAAATAATTATTATTTTATGCAATTTGCGAGATTCATAAATTATTGACCATACAAAGTATCTAATATTCATGATCTTGTTCATGTTCTGGCATAAAGTTTTGCTTCAGACTTTTTATTTTTCCATAGTTAGCTTTACGCACCAGGCACTGTTTTAACATAAACTGTATGGGGAAAGATTGTCTGACCAGACTGACTTCTTGTCTGGTCAATATGATGTCCCTGGACTGGTGAAAGTTATTTGCAGGCTTGGTACATGCATTATAATTTGGTGACTGCATTTTCATTGAGCACCCCTCCCGGATGAAACATGAACAACTTAGTCAGCCATGTGCAATTCAAGATCTAGTCTTTAATCAATTGGTGGTGTCACAACATGATATTGTTACATCCTCCCCTTCCTATCTTATGTATGGTTATATCAGGTTATGTTGGGATTTTCGTTTCACTCACTCATCCTGGCCCAAGGGGGGTTACTCGGGATTTAAAGTGACAGGGAGGGTGCAAAGGGTTTTTGGGGTTTGAAATTCATGATTTTGGGATTGTTTTGAGAAAGAACATTTTGGCAAGTATTTTTGGGGGTAGTTTGATTTTAGTCCCCTGCGAAGTCGGAGCGCCCAGGGACCTCACAGTCCCCCATCTACTTGGAGGTGCCTCATCGTAGTGTAGGGGTGTACTCAGGTTGAAAGTTATATTTGTACATGCCGAGCTCTACGGGCAAACCACCCATCGATGGATAAAGATACACCTACCCGGGATGGTCCTCCAGGACTGGACGGGGGGAGTAACTTTTACCCATCCCAATACGAGGAGGAGGAGGAGGAGGAAGAGAAGGAGGACATTTACCACCAGCTTCAGACTGCCTTCTACAAGAGGAAGGTGAGAGACCTCACCATGGTTATCGGTTACCTGAATGCAAAGGTGGGCTCTGACAACAGGAACCAGGAAGCGACCATGGGGACACATGGTGAAGGAGACATAAATGAGAACGGTGAAATGTTTTGTGACTTTTGCGCATCAAACAAGCTCATTATCGGGGAACACTCTCCCCGCACAAGAGATCTCATAAGCTTACATGGAGATCCCTGAATGGGATCACTGAGAACCAAATTGACCATGTGGCTATCAACAAGAGGTGAAGGAGCTCACTACAGGACATCAGGGTGAAGCGCAGTGCAGATGCAGGATCGGATCACGATGAGGTTGTTGGCCTTGAAGAAGCCAAGGTCAACAAGAAGCAAGTATTGCACATACAGGTTTAAAGACCAAAGTGTGATGGAAGAGTTCATCATTGTGCTGGCCAACAGATACGATGCTCTGTACAATGAATCGGATGATGAAGAGGAGATGGAGCCTGATATGAGGAGTGTGAAGTGGAGCAAGATCAAGGAAATGTACTCATCCACCTGTGAGGAAGTCCTTGGAAAGGCCAAAAGAGAAAGGAAGGCGTGGATGAGCGAGGACACTTGGAAAGACGCAAGCTAAAAGCAAAACTGGAGGCCACTAAGACGAGAAAGCTGAAGTTGGCTGCGTCAAACATGTACGATGAGAAGAATCACGAAGTGAAGAGAAGCTGCAGGAGAGACAAGGAGGACAATCAATGAAATTGCACGAGAAGCAGAGGAAGCAGCAGAACAAAGGTATATGAAGAAACTTTATGATACCACGAGACTGCTCCAGGAAGTCCTGAACAGGCCGGTACCGGAGAACCCACCGGATCTGACTGAAGGGCCCCCACTAGCCACCCGAACGGGACAAATTGCCATGGCAGAGGTCAAGAGAAGAAGTGAAGAGAAGCTGCAGGAGAGCCAAGAGGAGGAGAATCGATGAATTGCATGAGAAGCAGAGGAAGCAGCAGAACAATAGGATATGAAGAAACTTTATGATACCACGAGGCTGCTCAGTGGTCAAAAGACTGTCCACAGCAAACCAGTTAAAGACAAGAACGGGGTGGTCCTGACCAGGGCAGATTATCAGCTTAACCGATAGAAGGAACACTTCCAGGAAGTCCTGAACAGGCCGGTACCGGAGAACCCGCCAGATCTGACTGACGGGCCACCACTAGCCATCCGAACAGGGCAAATCGCCATGGCAGAAGTCAAGAGAACCTTGAAATCCCTGAAGAGTGGGAAGGCAGCCGGGTGTGACCCCCTTTAGCCTGGAAGGGGGGAGGATCTGTTTCGGCCAAGGTCCTCCACTCCCTCCTGAACAAGATCTGGAATGAGGAGGACATCCCTCAGGACTGGAAGCTGAATTGGACACCCAATTAGCAGGTATTTAAAAAATCAATGACTGATTAATATGTTTAACTGATAAAACAGGCTGTAGAATCAAAACTTCAATCAGATAAAACAAAACAAATAGTTTAAAAACATTCAGTTGTGTTTGTTCAAATAAAGTGTTCTTGATTCCTGTGGTCATTGTCCTGATTGGTATCTCACATAGTCCTTCATTTTGGTTGAGGTCTAGATCTGTGCGGCTGGACCTGCCGGGCTGGTACGGGTGACATCAGCTCATGGAACAGGCTCCTGTTCATTGCTAGTTGGTTGTTTCTGCAATGCACCGAACTGCAGCATGCTTGAGGCAGGGCCAGCGCATTTGCTGATTCCGTCTGATTGCATTGTTGGGTCAGCTCCGGAGGATTTTCTCCAAGGTGCTGTTCTGGTGGTTCACGAGTCTTTACAAGATATGTTGCCTGTTTCACCTGTATGTCCCCCCCCCCCCCCCCCCCCCAGCCATGACTTTGTATGACCTCTCATCTAATCTTTGAGAAACTTCTGCATTTTCCCATGACTTCTTTCCAAGCTGGAATGGTTTCGTGTACACTGTGTTGCCTTGCTTTAGAGGTGGGAAATCCTGGGCAGAATATTTGGCCTGCCTTTGTTGATTAAGCTCTAGCTGCTCTGTTTCACATTTGGAGAGTGGACTCTCTGGGTCAAGCAGGGACCTTGTAAACAGTAAGAGTGTTCTTGTCCTACTTCCCTTGAGTCTTTGAGCTGGACTTAACGGAGATTTAATAAGCCAAGTACTGATCTTCTCGAGACTTAGTAGTTTTCATCAGAATTCGTTTTGCAGACTTCACAGCTGACTCAACCTTGCCATTTGCTTTGCTGTGGTGAGGTGAGGTGGTAGTGTGGGTAACTCCCCAGTTCCTGGTGAATTTCTGGAACTCAGCAGAGACATACTGCAGGCCATTATCTGTGACAAGTTGAGAGTCGAAGGGATGCCATATCTTGCAAAGTGAGCTTTCAACTTCTTTATTATCGCCTTGGATGTCATATCAGAGTGAAGGGGACCAACTTCTATGAGATAGGTTTTCTCTTTAAAGGTAAACAGGTCGGATCCAACTGTGTCCCATGGACTCTCTTGTACTAGGTGGGGTATGAGCAATTATTTGGGCTGTGACACCTCAAATTCCCCACAGGTTTCACATGTCTGGATGATCTGGCCAAAATCCACTCTGACAAGCTCTTCTTAGGCATCCATCTACTCCAAGGTGACCGGAATGAATGTCCTTTTGATTCTGGATCTCATGGTCCAGGGGATCACCAGCCTCTCCCCCCTGAAGATCAGCCCATCTGTGACAGATATAGCTTGTCACGAAAACTGAAGTAAGGACTGACAATTGGGGAAAGGGTAGATTTGTCTTCTGGCCAGCCCTGTTGAATGGTTGCCTTCACAAGTTGTGGGGCAACTTTCACAGTAGGGCTGCCTTCACAAGTTGCAGGGCTGCCTTTGGGCTCGATTTCCGGTGCTCTCTCGAGTCTGGTCTTCGTTCCTCCCTGAGAAGAGGGGGGATGAGCATGGGCTCATTTTCCCGAACAGCGGCTGGTAATCGAGCCTAGGCTGCCTTCTAATTCACAAGTTGTAGCCTTCCCACATAGCTAGGTAGTTAACAGCATTTATGGCCTCAAACTCTACTTGACCTTCATGGTTGGCCCGGCGAAAAACCCTCAAAGTAAGGATGAGAACCAACAACAAACTCAATCCACATGATGCCAGATTCCAAGGCCAGCTATTACGCAGTCATTTTCCCAGGTCTATTGCCACATTTTCCAATTGTCTGCTATGTTGGTTGACATAAACCACAAGCGGCAGAGGGGAAATCTGCAGACATTGATCTAAATGCAGTTATTTGCGGTAGAGGAGGAGTTTCATTGCTACGTACTTTCTGCAGCCTGAGTAGTTCCACCATTGGTGGTCTCAGAAAGACGCATTTTTCCAGTCATAGAGCACACAAATTGTAATGCTAAGCAAATATACATGTAATGCATTTGCTAGTCTAAGAGTAGCAGAGGATATGATCGCAGGTTAACCACAGAGGTGTGTGAGTCCATTTGCCGCACTGCTGTCACCATGTGTCAAGCTCGACAGGAGACGTAAAGAAGAGACGATTTGGACAAAACGGAAACAACTTAGTCAGCCATCATGTGCAATTCAAGATCAAGTCTTAAATCGATTGCTGACATCACAACATATATAATATTGTTACAGTTTCACTATAGGCAGTGTATTGTGCGAATCATGATCAAAATATGTTTATTCTGAGAGTGATTGAAACTATCTCAAGATAGTTTCATCCTTTTAGGGATTGCAATGGGTCAATAGACATGGGCCTCACCAAA